GTGAAGCTGGGTGGGGAGGGAATATAAAAAAGTGGGTGAATTCTGGCTGGTGGGGCTTTAGATTTGACATTGAGGCTCGCAGGCGGTCCTGCCTGGGTGTGAAGTGGGGCAGGGAGGAGCTGTGATGCTGGTAACTGCTACCCACAGTGTCCATTATTCATTTGAAAGCAGCTGAAAGTGGGACAGGGCACTCGAATAGGACTGATTCCCAAGTATAGGAACCCTTGACATGATTTTAAAGTTTACAAGGACTCGGGTAAGCAATATGTAATTTTGCTGAGGAATGAATTTTAATCCCACGTCTTGCAGCAGACGAGTCCTTATCTAGGGAGTGACTCCAACCCTCCACCTTGCTGGAGCCACACTAGCATTGGGCCCAATACTTCCTGGCCCTGTGACCTTGGGCCTTGGTTTTCCTCATATGTTGTAATGGTTAAATGAGATAATATGTGAAAGATGCCTAGCAGTGCCTGATACACAGCAAATATCCAATAAATGGTAACTGCCAATAATAACTAAAACTCTCATTAGGATCAAGAGGTTGTTTGATTTTCCTTCTCAGTTATACCCTGTTACATTATAAAGGAGCAAATATGCAAATTTAGAGTTTGGGAAGGTCTTAAGACAAGCCTGTGAAATTTCACGACCTCCTGTATCCAGGATGAGCAGCAACTCTAGACCAGTGGCTTAGATGGCAAGACGTTACCCTGCTTTTTGTGGAAGACGCCCACCATGACGAGGAGGTGGGCGGCAAAGGCTTGGATTAATTTGGATGAGTTTGAGGTGGCTTCAGGGTCCCGGGACTGTTCTCTTTCACCCCTCCCAGCTTTCGCATCAGCACCAGCTGTTCCTGCTGCTCAGTGGGCACAAATCACGCCTCTCTTCCTAGTGATCACCAGCTCAAGCGCCGAGGCTAATTCATGCAGAAGCAGCAACAGGCAGAGGTTAGGAGCATGGGCTAGGGAGCTGCAGAGACGTGAGTTGAAATGCTAAGCCTGCCACTCATTAGCTCTGTGGCGTGCTATTCAACTCGGCTTCTTCACCTGTAAAATGAGGATAATAATATGAAAAACCTCATAGGTTAATATAAGGATTAAACGGAATCATTTATCAGGTGCTTAGGACAACACTTGGCATGTTGTGGGCATTCAATGAACAGTATCAGCTAGTATTTTTATTTAAAAAGTGAGGCCTTACATTCTGCACATAGACCTTTCCAAAGCAGGTAAAGTTCATTGGTCCCGTGGTACTTTCAGTTGTCTCTCTCACAGTTCTCATTTATAAAGGGGAAACTAGCATTTACTCAGCTCCTACCATGGCCAGGCATGAAATGCGTACCATTTCCTATAGCCTTCCCGGTCATCTCTTGAGGCTGGAATCATTTCCATTTTCACAATAAAAAGCAGAGGCCCGAGAAGTTAATTCACTTGCCTAAGATTACACAGCTGGTGAACATCAGAAGCAGGGTTTGAACCTAAAGCCAACACCAAAATCCAAACTTCTTCCATTATCCAAAGCTTCCTACACTTTTTGTACTATAATTATTTGTCAATATGTCTTTTCCCTGAACTAATCTCTATATGCAGGAGCTGCACTTGATTCATTTTTGTGCTATCTAACACATGCCCGGCTGATATTCCACCAGCATACATTAAATGAGAGGTGACAAAATTCATACAAATAAACCTAAATTAGAGTTTCCAGATAAATACAAGATGCTGAATTAACTTTAAATTTCAGATAATCAACAAATAATTTTTTAGTATAAGTACAACACAGACACTGTTTGAGACACATGTACACTAAAAATTGTTATATAAAATTCAAATTTAATAGAGCATCTTGTATTTTTATTTGACAAACCTGACAACCTTAACCTAAACCCTGAAATTGGCCACACCAGGGACAACTTCCTAGGGGTTTCCTGGTAGGAGAAAGGCTGCTATGGCCCCTCATTCACGCTCAAGGCTGACCCGATCTTGAGCTGCTCTTGGGGGCTGGGATTGAGGCCATGGTAACCTAGACAGCCTGACTTTTTGGGGCCTTACCAGTTCACCTAAATTAGGTCAGCTTTGGCATCTTTAAACCAAAGAAGTAGCCACTGAGGGTTTAAAGCGCCATCTGGAGGCCTTTATGGGTAGTACTTTGGCCAGGAGCCTTCTCAGGGACCCATCATAGCTATGAATTCATTGCCAAACCCAAGGTCATGAAGATTTACCCCTATGCTTTCTTCTAAGAATTTTATAGTTTTAGCTCTTACATGTTAATCTTTGATTAATTTTGAGTTAATTTTATGGATGGTGTGGAATAAAGTTCCAATTTCACTCTTTTTAAAAAATTTTTATGTCTTTATTGATTTCAGAAAGAGGAAGAGAGAGATAAGAAACATCAATGATGAGAGAGTCATTGATCCGTTGCCTCCTGCACACCCTCCACGAAGGGTCAAGCTTACAACCCGGGCATGTGCCCTGACTGGGAATCGAACCACGATCTCTTGGATCCTAAGTTGATGCTCAACCGCTGAGCCATGCAGGCCAGGCTCCAATTTCATTCTTTTGCGTATAGATATCTAGTTGTTGAAACACTATTTATTGAAAACATTATTTTTTACCCATTAACTTATCTTTGGCTCTTGTTCAAAAATGAGTGGACCATAGACACTTCATTTTTTTTAATGGACTTTCAATCTATTCAACTGATCTGTATGTCTACCCTTATGCCAGTACTACATGGTACTGTCTTGATTACCCCTTTGTGGCAGCTTTTAAAGCCAGGAAGTGTGATCCCTCCAACTTTATCTCCCTCAACCTTGGGGGCAGTGGTGTACCATGTCCTTCCCTCTCTTGTGGATCCAAGAGTCAGTGCTGATTCTTCAGTCTGCTCAGTTTTCGCCTGTTGTTAGGATGGAGTAGAGACTTTCAAACTCCTTACATGCAGAACGGACACTGCTGTGTGCATTTTATGATCTACCTGTTACACTCAAAGGAAAGCGTTTGAATTGAGAAAAAAGATACATCTTTAGTTTTTTAAAAAATATATTTTTAATGATTTCAGAGAGAGGGGGAGAGAGAGAAAGAGAGAAACATCAATGATGAGAGTCATTGATTGACTGCCTCTGGCACAACTCCCCACTGAATATATAGATGCATATAAGGTGACCACATAATTTACTATCCAAACCAGGACGTATTTGAAAGTGAAAGGCAGCACTATTAATAATAATTCTGGCTCAACAGGTTAAAACCAGGATTGTCCTGGGTAAACCAGGACAAGATTCTTCTAGGTATAAATGGGTGGTTTGTAAATACACCAGGGGAAGAAAGTGAAGGCTCAATTTCCATCATAAGACAGTAGCAAGTGTTAACAAAATGTTCGCTCTTTTGACGTTTTACTGTAAAGATACTAAGAGCTCCTCAAATGTGTGATCAGCAACACTGTCAAGTAGCCTTTTTAAAAAAAATCCTCACCCGAGGATATTTTTTTTGATTATTTTTTAGAGAGACAGGAGGAGAAACAGAGAGAGGGAGAGAAACATTGATCGGCTGCCTCCCGTGTGTACAGAGAGATGCTCCAGCCCATTGAGCCACACCCGCCAGGGCTCAAGTAACTTCCATTCACCTAGGACTATAAGGCCTACCCTCCCGGTGTATCATGAAGGTTCTTCTCCTGGGGTGTCAGGAGACTCTGCCTCCTTCACTAAATACAAGGCACTTCTGTTAGGTTGGACCTGTACATAAGTCAACCTGCAGTTCTGAGTGAAGAAATTGAGAGTGATGGTTGCTTAGCTGCTGGCTGGTTCAGGTTTCCCCAAATGCAGATTCTTATCATTGATCCAGCCTTATTTCACTGTCTGTGGTCTTTTATTTCTCCACGACTACATACATGCAGAGGCATCGGGTATCTTCCTGGGTACCTTTTATTTTTCTCTATAAACCACCTGAGACCACGCACATGGCCTGCCAAATGTGTGGTCATGTCATTTTCATCCAAACACAATGGATTTTTGGCAGTTAACCAAACTCTGTTGTGCTCCCACATTATGGGAACACAGACACTTTGGCCCAGGACCATCCCAGGGACTCAGCATCCTGCAGACCAGGTAATGGTGTTTCCATCTGGCTCAGAAACCCCACAGCACTGTCACACAGCTCATTTCACTATAACTAAGTGCTTTGCCCTAACTGCAGCGCTCCGGGTAGTGCTTTTGGCCGCAGCCTGCTTTATTTGCAGGGGGGCTGCTTATTTGGCAAGAGCTGGGAAAGATCCCCTGCTGCCAACATTTCCCCACACGACCTAAAATTCCCTCATTAGAGTTTTGTCTTTGGGGGCTAAGAAATAAGTACAAATGACTCCACAGTACTGGAAGCGACATTTCACTCACTCTTTAGTGTGAAATTGAGCAGATCATTCCTCAGAACATCTGGCTGAGATCTGGAGAGTAGGCAGGGAGTCTGGATGCAGGCGGATGGGGTTTGTGGGGACAGCGGGCCAATCCAGGGAGGAGGTTCTGGGAGCCTGAGGATCCTTCAGACACACTGGTCTCGGGACAGCCTTTTGTCATGTGATTTTTACGAGGCCATAGTCCCATCAGTTAGGAGTTCCACTGTGTGAAGATGGTTTCCCCATTGGTGACAGAGAATAGGTGACAAAAGGGAGGTCGGGGAAGCCTGTTTTCCCCCTTTCATATCTAATGATCCCCCCCATGGTCCCTGTTTCAGATAACTCAGCAACCTGCCCTGGGAACAAGACCTCGAACTTTGGTCTTGTTCCCACCAGGAGACAGACCTATTGCTAGTGTTGGGCCACTGAGGCTCCCATCTCTCTCAACTCTTTTTTTACCTGCAGGCCCTGCTCAGGCCTCCCAGTAAGTGGCCACCTGCCAACAGGAGTGAAAAACCAAAGCTGAGTCTTCTTAGCAACTTCAGCTCCACCCCCGGCTACTGTAGGAGAGGTGCTCTGCCAAACCCCCTCTCCTCTGAAGAAACACAACCGAGACCAAGTGAGAAGTAGCTACAGTTTAATACAAACCTGCACCAGAACACAAGGTGTCGGGCTGTTTTGTTTTTGCCTCAGATGGGTGGCCAAAGCACAGGACCATGTGTTGTCTTAGGGTTGACACAATCTTAGCACCATGACTTTTACAGAGGAGGGAGGAAGTCACTTGGGTGCTGGAGGCTCCATCCCGACCCCAGGCTGTGCCTGCCGCCTGGGTAGCTGGAGGGGGTTTGGGTTTCTGTGTGGTTCTGTGGTTTCTGGGTCAGTATTGGAAAAGCCCTCATCAAGGCATTGGCTTGACAGAGACCTAATGTGGACTCCTAGCACTACATACACACACACGCGCACACACAGTAGCACGATTTTCTGTAACTTAACCCCACAAACCTAGAGAGCAGCTAAGGCAAGAACAACAGTATTTATTCAGCAAGTACAAGACCAGTTTGAGAGCTGCATTCAGTGCAACCAGGAGCCAGTGGGGTTGGTGGTGGAGCTGGCTGGAGCTCTGCACACGGGCCAGGAGCAGATGGTGGGGGCTGACCATTCATTTGGTTCCTTGAACCTCCTTCTGATTTTCATCTAGAAGCTCCTGGGCAAGGGTGGGGTCTGGGTAAGGATCAGGGGGGATGAAGTGGGAGGCCGACGGTGGACCACTCAGAGATGTGGTCTCCCAGAGCCCAGGCCATGCATCTCTCAGGCGGAGGCACTCAGAGAAGGTAAAGCTTTCCTAGCCCGAGCAGGGATGCTCTGCCCACGGGCCACCACTGCTCGGCTCTTTGGCATCTGCCCAAGGCCCATGACCCAGCAAGGGCTGAAAGAGACAAAGATGATGGGCACTGCACCAAGGGGTCAGTGTCACGGTTTCCCAGGCCCAGGTCCCTACTCCTGTCCCCATGGCTGCCACTCTCTACGAGTGCCATTGCTGCCTCTGTTCCCTGGGTTACAGTCTCTGTCATCTCAGCCCCTAAGTGAGGAAGATGAGCATGAAGGGACAAGCGACGATGTGGAGGCAGCTCAAACCACATGGCAACCCCCCAGCATGTAACTAATTCTGGCTCCAACAGTGAATATGCATTAGTTTGTTTATGACAAAAATCTACCTACCTGTGCAAAACAAAGCAAAATCCCTACTAGGGGAGTAAGTCTTCTAACTGGTTAAACTCAGTGGGATCTACAAGGGACATCACCCCACTCTTCCTTTCCACAGCTAGGGTAGACAGCCAAGCTCTTAAGGGTGGTCATGGACACTTCTGGGGTCAGAGGCCTAAGCTTTCTGGGCCTCACCTTTGAAATGGAGAGAATGACACATGCTCTGTCGTAAGAAGCAGTTGAGGACTCGGTTATGGAAGTGGTTTGGAAACATGGAAAGCACGATAGAAATGTACAGGGTGTGACCACTAGCCCAAGAGTCCAGGAGCCACGCGCAGCCTGGGTGCTCAAACCGAATGTGCAACGTGAGATCACTTCCCCGAGGAGACGACAAGGCTTAACCAGGGCAGGCAGCTGGGAGGTCACCCAGCCTCTCGAGTTTCCATGGAAACCTCCTGGAGCTTTGGAGGCAGGGAGGGCCCAACTGGACGTGGAGGAAATGGAGGCCACAGCAGGTGAGGGCACAGTGCTGTCCACAGGAGACTAGAGCAACTGCGCAGCAATGCAGGCTCTATAGTCAGGTCCTGCTGGCCTGGTTTCCTTCCCTGGCACCTAGCTAGCCCTCTCCCCCTCTCTCGGCAAACATCAGGCCCCTCACCAGTCACACAGGAGGAGCAGCCAGGCCTCTGTCCAGCAGGGGGAGTTTATAGGAACCTGGGTGTTTGGGGGTGTTACTGCTGGGAGTGATCAGGGCCAGAGACTGGAAAAGGCCTTCTTGCTCCCCAAAGATCTCCAGGGCCAGCATCCTGGGCACCCTCTCAGAATGTAGGGAACTAGACCAGGAGGGGAAGGGATGGGAATAGGGCCTGGGACAGGGTGTGTGGGTGGCAGCCTGGAAGACTCCATGTGGGGAGAGGGGCCTGTGAGTCTAGCACACCCTCCCCCGCCCGCCCGTGCCCTAGGCTGTCTGGTTGGTGTCGAGTGCAGCATCTCCTAAGGTCCACATCTATTCCTGTTTCTATGCTATGCTATGACACAAAGCACCGTTAATTGTCACAGGATGCACAAACAAGTCAAACCAAACCACTGCGCAAACCAAACGTGCAAAACAAAATCATGTACACGCGCCTGGCATCAGCCTTGCGCCCAGCCCAGCTAGCCTTCTGGGTGTGACTCCCAGAGGGCAGGGTGGGGAGAAGAAGCTGGTAAAGGGCGCAGAGTGTCCCAACCACATCCACACAGGGCCGGAGCTGAGTCAGGAAAATGGGACATTCTGGGCTTGGCCGGGCAGCTAACACCTGTCTAACTTGAGAAAGGTGACCACGGAGCCTAAGGGGATGGGGAGGGGGGTCCTTTTAAAACATATCTGCTAAAGTGCTCTGGACGACTGGCGGGGCCAGGGGCAGGGCACTAAAGTCTGGGCTTTCCTGAAGCCAGCACGTGGAGGTGTGAGAGGAGGGGCTGGGCCGGGCTCTGCGTGTTGGGCTCTGTGCATAGTGTGGGCTTCCTGGGCCCCACGAGGCCAGGGCAGGAGAGGACTGCAGCAGGAGGAACGCATCTCAAAGTGCCTGTTAGGGTTGGCTCGAAGCACAGTGAATCACGTGTCAGACATGAGGAGGGCTCCCGGGACCTGGCCCCTCGCTCAGGTGGTGAGCTGCCCAGCCCAGCCTCTCCTGCCCCTGCAGCTGCGACTGGAGGGTGTGCGGGCTGGTGGCAGCGATGCATCCTCACTTGGGGGGGGTGCTGGTTGGTGCCTTTACCAAATGCCGCTTGACCTGCCTCCGGGGGGAGCGAGGATCCGAGCCGAGGCTCGCTTTGGAACATGGTCATCGATCTGAGAACCTGAAGGGAAGGAAGCAGAGGGTTAGCTGGGCTGCTCTTGTCTGGGTCACAAAGGCAGGGCCACCTCTGCCCTCACCCCATTTTACAGATAAAGAAACAGGCTCAGGGAAGTTAAGTAACTTGCCCAGTGTTACACAGTATGTAAGTGGCAGGGTCTGGATTTGAACCCAGCTCTTCCTGATTCAGAACCTCCATGATTAGCTGCCCCACTCTGCCACCCTCACTGTTCCCAGTCCTGGACATATGGTCTCTTGCCAGGAACCCGGACTATGGATTGGCCTGTTAGCAAGTGGGCCTTTGTCCATATGCCTCAGTGAGTAAGAGAGAAAGAAGGGAAGGGGCTTCATTGTTTTGGAAAAACAAAGAACATACTCTGAAGGTGCCCACATCTTGAAATCTCAAGACTTAGTTAGAAAAGGAGGCCTGGTGCTCCAGGGAGTGCACTGGGACAGTCTTCAGCCTGTCCCATCTAGAACAGACAAGGTTTGGGGCAGAGGGAAGGCTGCTTAATGTTGGCTGAGTCTGAGAGTTCTGCCCAGCCTTGGCTCTGCCCTGAGACGTGGGTGGTAGTAGATGAAGCAATGGCTAGCCCTCCTCCTGCCACCCCGCTGAGGTGGAGATGCAAGTGCCAGTCTGAGTGGCCCTTGCTCTTACCAGAGAGGCTGAAGCTGGATTCATGAAGGTCCCTCATGCCCCCATGTCGGGTAACGGGCCGGGTAGGAGTGTCTGCGAGCGGTGTTCCCATCTCTTTTTTCCCAGGATGTACTACGACAGCTACATCCCCCAGGTAGGGAGTGCGATCCACTCCCTTAACTTTTAAGGTCTAGTGAAGAGCGGAGGGGGGAAAGGAAAGACATCATTAGAGCCGAGACATCACCACCAGAGCCACCTCAGTGGCTGACAGGACTCCAGATGCTGCCGTTCTGCTCAGGACCCAAATTACGGTGACAAAGACTTCCTCTACCTTGAGCACGGGGTGGAGAATTATTTTCTCGTACCTCCTAAATAGTGCATGTGTGTGTGCGTCTGTGCACATGTATGTATACATGCATGTGTGCTTCCGCAGAGGAAACGCCCACTGGCTCCCCTAAGTATTGGTGGAATCCTTTCCAAGGGAGGAGGTAGACTTCAGAAATATTGAACCTTATAGAGCGCCCCTCCCATGGAGCAATGTTATTCCCCCCACTTGCTCGGCTACCAAGAGGCCATGCCTTTTACTGTGATCTGACAACTTTGTGGGGATAGAGGCTAAATACAGTTAATTTGTAGATGAGAGAGCCCCAGCAGCAATACTGTTTAATTTTGTACTAACAAAGGCCATAGAATTAAGAGCCTATATTCTGCAAACAGATTGCCTAGGTTCCAATCTCAGCTCTGTTACTTACAAGCTGTATGACCTTGTGCATGTTACCCAACCTCTCTGTGTCTGTTTGTAAAATTAGGCTGATAATAATACCTATTAGTACTACATATAGAGTTGTTATGAGAGCAAATGAAATAGTGTATGCAAAGCTCTTAGAACTGCTAAGGACCAGCAGCTGTTATTATGGCAGAGGCCATTTAAGGGTGCTCAATCATACGGGAAAGTGCTGTTACAGAGAGGAGGAAGTGCGTTGGAGTGTGTGCATAATCCGAAGGAGCAGCACAGGTGACTTCCACCCCAGGCACTCGTCAGGGACAGAACCTCAGTCTCCATGCTGCTCGATGCTTACTGCAAATCTTGTTGAGAGAAACAATAGATCTAGGTGATCTCCTGAAGGCCCTCTAGTCTACACATTCCTTTATATTCTCCAACAACAGACCTGTAGTTTGGCTCAGCCCCCAGGATGTCAAACTTGGCCTGAACTATTCCGGCCTTTGCCAGGCTGCAGTCTGGCTTCCACATTAGAGGCCAGGGTCGCAGTGGGGGAGGGCAGGAGCAGAGGCCCTGGGAGAATCCCAGTGAGCGCCAACAGAGTTGATCTTTTGGTGTTAATATACCTTTATGCTTTAGATGATTGTTTTTCAAATGTCAGGTTTTTTTTTAATCAAGCGTGGAGGGAACCAAGCAATGGCAGTACCTCAAGTCCCCTGCCTCCCACCCCCCACCCCGAGCCTGCGAATCGCGAGCTCAGTGGTCATAGACACGCTCATGGTTCCCTCGTGTGCCTTCAGGAACTCAGGGCTCCCCGTTGCCTGCTCATTTAGAATGCTATCTGGTAATCAAAGATGGGTAATGGAGACCAGCAGTATCCGACGTGAACATTCCCCTCGCTCCACCACACACGCCCTCTCAGCCCAGGGAGCGGGACCAATCTGTGAAATCAAGTTGTGGTTCTTGTGAATGAAGCTGTGGCAGAGGAGCTCCACTGAGGGCCAGGCTCAGGCTGAAATGGAGTCCTGGTTAGGGGGCCTACACAGAGCATGAAGGCCAACCTGCCACCATCCCAGCTGATGGAAATTTCCTTCCTTCTGGCCCTTGGGTCATCCCAGGGCTGGGGTCACAGCTAGTAGGTGCAGAGGGTGTTCAGAAAACAGGGAGGGCAAAGTCTGAGGAGCTACCCCTGAGAGCCTTGGCTGGTTCAGGGAGAAAAGGGTGGCACAAATTGGAAAGGACCCAGGAACCGAGTACAGGGGCTTAGCTTTTTCAGAGGATCAGAGAACTAGGGTAATAAGTCTGGGTGAAGAGAGGTCGTGTGGCCACTTGATGGCAAGCGTATCGAGCCAGAGACAGCTCTTAAAGGGCCTGTTCCTTAGACACTATTAGGCAGATTGCTAGAGCTCAGCAACATGGCAGGTGAGTCTATTTTCAGCCAAGGTCCTTTAAATCCCTGGTCCCTTGCTGGAAGTCAGAGCCGGTCATGAGTGGAGAGCTCAGGGCCTGGGAATGGGAAGCTGATGCTGATCTGGGAGAGTGATCAGAATGTGGGGGTCGGGGGGTGGAGATCACCCAGAAGGGGCCCAGAAACTGTACTCCCTGAGCTGCTCCTTAGGGTCTCTGGCTAAAACACACAATTTTCCTGGGCCTCCCTCCCTGGACAGTGAAGTGGCTGACAAACGAGGCCAGACCGCACAGTTTTCCTAACTCATCCAGAAACCCTCACAGCTGCTGCCTCCAAGAGATAAACACTTGTGGTGAATAGAGGACTGGGATGTAGTGGGCAAAAGGAACAAACAAATGGGACACAGGAGAAGCTGGGTGAGAAAATTTTCAAAAATTAAAAAAAATGGTTGAAATCTCTTAAGTGTGCCATGACTACACCAGTGGCATCCCAGAGCCTGGGCAGGAAAGAGCTGCTGCACCCAGTGAGACTGGGACACCTAGGCCCTCGGCCGTGATATATCTAAGAACACCCACCCTTTTAGACGACATCTGGAAATAGCTAGGCAGGGGCATTTTGAAGACAAAGTAATATTGCTTTAGGCCAGAGAAAGGGGAGGGGAAAAGAGCAGGATGCTTCTGCTGTCAGTTCATCAGATTTGTTCTTTTCTGATGACGTGGGACCTCTACCCAGAAGCCAGGACGGTAGGTTCCAGTGCCTGGAGCTGTCAGTAAGGATTCAGGCCAGACTCTCCAGGATGTGGCTGGACATCAATCCCCAAGCAATGAGGGAACAGCCAGCCTTCTTTTTGGGGGAAGTGTCCACCCAGAGCACAGGATACACCCAGAGTGCTTATGGAATCCAAGGAATGGGTGCAACCCTTGAGAAATGAACTACTCCAGACCTGGCCTGACCACTTAAGTGTTGGGGGCCCAGACTCAGCAAAGCCCACCCAGCCTACTGCAATCACAAGGGAGGGAGAGGTTTCAGAGAAAGAGCAACTCCAGGCTAAGACAGGGATAGCTTGCCCTGTGGACGGCAAGAATCCTCCCAGATACCAGATGTCAGCACAGTCGTGAGCAGCTCACAGTATTCCCTCAGATCCAGGGGAAAGGGGGGGGGGCCTTCCCAATACATTTTACTTTGTTACACGTGCTTCTTTCCTACTATATCTTGTTCCCAAAGTGACCACCAGGCAATAGGATTCGGTGGGAAAATAGAGTGAGAACATCTTTGAGATTTAAAACAGTCATGTGAGATGCTCCTAACAGGGGCTTCAATCTCTTCCCACACATCTTCCTCCCCCTCCTCAACCTTACCTTTTCTCTCTGGACCAGCTTCTTGTAGACAGTGTCTGGGAAGGACCTCAGGGGACAGAACTTGCCAGTGCCCTCAGCGCACATGAAGACACCGTTCTCATACACGACCCGGCCCCGGCTGATGGTGACCAGCGGCACGCCATGGCAGCGCATGTTCTCGTACAGGTTGAAGTCTCCTCCCTGCACCTGGGTGCTGGCCGAGATGGTCCTGGTGGGGGCGGAGTGGGGGGAGAGAATGCTCTGAGGAGAGGTAAAGACGCCACATCTTGGTGGGAATGGAAGATGCTCAGTGGGAAGGGGCGATGCTCAGTGAGAAGGGGTGATGCTCAGAGGGAAGGGGTGATGCTCAGAGGGAAGGGGCGATGCTCAGAGGGAAGGGGCGATGCTCAGAGGGAAGGGGCGATGCTCAGTGGGAAGGGGCGATGCTCAGAGGGAAGGGGCGATGCTCAG